TCTATTCCCCTTTACTCCCCCAGCCAGCCTACCCAGGACAGAAGTGAAGAACAGAAATGGGATCTTTGAGGGGAAGGTTGCATGGCCGTGGGATGTGTTGCCTCTGCTCTCAGGCTGGGAGAATTGGAGGAATTCTAACTCCAGGCCTGTTAGAGCTGAGACTTACTAGCCAGAACTTATCAGCAGTAAACGACATACAATCACATTGAATTATTTCTGTCCAGGTGTGAGACGGGGCAATTTCAGCTGCCGGAAGAGATTTCCCCTGAACTGGAAGAACAAGTCAGAGGTTTCTCCCAGAGAACGATTGCTCTGTCGGAGACTCTGAGGGAGTTCAAAGGTACCTGGAAGAGATGGATGAGGGGAAAGTGGTTCAAGTATCTGAGACTATTGAATCTGGGCTCTGAAGCCAACCTTTCCCTGCCTCAGTTCACACATAGATAATGACGGTCCCATCACACTGCTCTCCTTAGAGACACTGAGCGAACAGACCCAAGTGCTTGCAGATGGAGCCAGGGGTTTGCAAACTCTGAACCTCCCATTCAGAGATCAAAATGGCCAAAGTTACTGTGATGGCCACGTGCTCTGCCACCACAGCTCCAGGTTATTATAAGAGGCAGTAAGTGAGTGAGAAACCCAAGTGGAAGGGGGTGAGGAGGGAAGAGTAAATCTCATTTACCGCTCGTCTCTCCTGGGACAGGTGTGAGGCTGCAGGGATATTGGCTCCATTGCTGGAAGGTGCCCGAGGGAGAGGAAATGAAAGTTTCAGACTCTTTCATACTAAATACTTGAGTGTGTCTCTGATACAATTGAAACGCAGAGTTCAGAGTGGGACATTGTTATAAATAGGAGAGTCTGGAATCTCACCTCTCTTATCCTTTCCCCCACTAGACACTCTGCCCTCTGCACTGGAGAGAGCAAGAGGAAAATCCCTGGGAGCTTCCAGACAAGGTGGGTTTGCTGGTGGAAATTCTTTAAGTGATGTGAGAATTTCTGTGAAAACATCTTCATGGGATTGTCATTGGAGTTACCAACCAAACCCAGGGACCACGGTGCACACAGCCCTAAATCACCCAGTGATCAGTGACAAGCCTCAGGGGTGCTGCATGGGGACCTGAGGAACACTGGTCTATAGGTTTCTGATGCTAAAGGGGTGAAGTTAAAGCACACAATGGACAGAACCTTCAGGCTCAGATTTCACTGCTCAGTCAGTTTCAATATGGGGTTGGTTTCAAACAACAAATAGGCTGAAAGGCTCCTTCACCCAAACTCTCTCCTAGACCCCCTCTGTCTGTCCTGTATCCCAAACCGTTACCCCAAGCATCCTCCTCCTCCCAATGCCCATCCCGGATCCTCCATTTCCTGCATTTGTCATGCAAGAGTGCAGCTCTCAGCCACTTTCCATTTGGCCCCCCCCATGAAAATTTGGCCCACCTCTTCGAGTGGATACGGCTCAGTGAGAGCCAGTATTTGAAAGCTGAAGCCAGACTATTTCAGAATAGAAAAGAGGCACAAGTGTTAGGGAAGAGGATTAGCTGCTGAAACAATTGAACAAAGAACTGGTGGATTCTCCCATCTCTTGATGTCTTGAAATCACTGGGGGACTTTCTAGAAAATACACTGTGGGGAAACAGAGCTTTGTGCCTGGGTAACTGGACTAAGTGTAATGGCTTGTGCCACTGAGGGGGTCAGACTGCATGATTGAGGATTTCTTCTGAGGAGGATATCTTCTGATCCCATGAATCTTAAGATCTCATCCTGCAAACACTCAGCGCAAGTGTTTAATAATAAGCACCCGTATTTAATAATACCACCTCCATTCAGATGCTTAACTTCACTGATCCTCTGTTGTGGAAAGGGTTTATAACGTCTCTGTGAGATGAGAGCAAAGTTTGTGCTACAAATCTGTGAATGAAGACTAAGGGTTTTAAATACAGCAGCCTGCATTTAACCTATGTCTGTGTTCAGGCAGATGAATATGTGGCTTGTTATCAGAAACACTGGGTGCTGAGAACTGGATCCCATTGTTGCAGACACAGTAATCTTATAGCTCAAGCCAGGTACGGAGAGAAATGAATATGGATTTGGGATCTAACTCCCGTATGCTATTAATGGAATATCTAGACTAAAACTTTTGTCCACTGTGTTAGAGTCTAACACGTGTGTCACGTCACTAGGGACAGAGTCTGAGGAGAATGGAGGTGTGGGAAGGATTAAAGCCCCTTCTGAAATAAACATGTGAAGGGCTTTAGTCTGGTCTGATTTGCTTTCAAAAATATATGCCTCTCCTGGGGGCGGGGAGAAAAATCTGCAGTGGCTACTTAAAGTCAAAGTAGCTATTGAGTAATCCTTGTTCTTATCTGCCACACAGCCCTTTTTAAAATCTCCCCTGCTCAGGCATATTCCAGGGCTAGGCCCGGCCTTCTTGCATCTCTACAAATCCCACTTCAAAACATGTCTCCATGTTTTAATTTCTTTCCTTTCAGCACTACCTTTGCTTTCAACTTGCACTCAAATCTTTACACTGTTTTACATCATCTAAACTCTCATTGGGTACTAGGGAAATCAATCTGCACTGGAGCTAACTTTTCTGCTAAAAGCAGGACATCTACTGTGTAAAGAGTCCTTTTGCCCACTGAGTGGGGGTGTAACAATGCACTAACTAGGTGTCTCAGCCTAGTAAATGTGGTGTTGAATACTCATGGCGCCTGCAACAGTTAGACTTAACTAGTCCATTGCCATGCAATGGTTGCTCAGCAAAGGAAAGATCACTAGGTGCTGTTCATGTCCACCAGCAGAACTGCTGTTCAGCTTTGGCTTCTAACCCTTGGCTGGGCCTGAAGAAAGGGGCTTCTTTGAATCAGCAAAGCAGCTAAGGGACACAAGTGGTAGGGCTTGCTCAGGAGGAGCAACATGTCCTTTCAGTCATCTAATAGGTAACATAGGTTAAAAGTACCTTGATTATGTTTTTCAAATAACTCAGGAGGCCCCTTTACATGGGTCTTTTGTTATCTCAAATTAAATTCTCATGTAAATGCCAAGGGAATTTCAATCTCCTTGTGCCTCACTGTATCCTGTGGTTGGTCATAGAATTTTTTTTGTTAAAGTACAGATTGGAATTTAGTTTTTCAGTATTTGTACTGTAACATCACCTGTCAGCCTGTAAAGGGTTTCATGGTGCTAGCTGCTGTATAAGTATAGGAAGACTTAATCCCTGCCCCAAGCAGCATGAGCAAGCTCCTTCAGTCCCTCGTGCACTTGAGTAGTATTAGATGTTTTTTTCTTAAAGAAACAAGCCTCTTCTGCAGTTCATCTTGCATAGTGAAAAGGGGCAGCAATTGGGACAGGTAAAACTCTACCATCTTCCTCTGTTCTGTATCTGACATCTCATACTTTAGAAGAGTAAAACCAGATCTGCATACACGGGCACTGATTTTTTTTCCGTGAGTAGTTTGAGGCTTGATTTGGTGTCCTATTGTTTAGCTGGAGATGCATTCTTAAATTTGGATAGTGGGCAGAGTGGATCAGTGGCCAGATCTCCCAGAGCTGCTTCATTTGTGAGCAGCCTGCACAACAATGCACCTCTCTCTTTAATAGCTGTTATAGAGTGTTCCTGTTTCTCAGGGCTGGGAAAGATACCTACATTAAAGAGGGATAATGCTTAGCTTCATATGTGCACCCCAATAGCACAGTGGGGTCCTGATTTACACCAGAGTTCCCAGGTGCTGCTGTGATTGATACTTTTGCTTCCCGCAGCGACTGCAGTGCCATTAGAATTGCTGCTAGCGCCACAGAGCGTTGTTATGGCTGTTCACGGTGTCTCTTTCTGGAGCTCTGATGCCAGCAGAACTGGCAAAGCCTGCGGCTTATCCATGCAGCTGTCAGCCGACGGTCAGGGCAGGGGTGTGTGTCTGTATGTTACCGAGGAAAAAGGTTTAATGTCCGTGACTTCACTGCTAGGACTGGGGTCCCGTTGCAGAGGGCAGCCAACAGGCAGACATGCCCCAAGTTTATAGGAAAGAGCTTATTACACCTCAGATTTTAGCTGCTAGGTTACAGGATCCCTTCGCAGCGGACATTCTAGGGAAGACTGAGAGATGCCCCAACGGATCTGTCACCTAGGAGTGGCATGATCCAAATGCCCAAGCTCTTCATATACCTGTCTCTGACTGGCTGAAGTTCTTTTAAATTGTGCTTGGTTCTGTTACAGCAACTGAAGGAGTCAGGTTAAAGCTTAAACAGTTACAGGTTTATTAAAAAGACTTATAAAAGCATATGGTTAGAATGGCTATTGCTCTCTTAACTGCTAGCAAATACGGATCTTATGGTTACAATGGCTATTGCTCTATTTCTTAACTGCTAGCAAATATAGATCTTAAAACTGATTACAAAGAAAATAAAGATAGAAAATAGAAATAATGGTACCAAGTGACAGCTTAATCTTTAAAGAGCTCTGAGTCTATGTGTACACTTAAGACAAAGGACCACATCCAGGTACAATTTTTACCCCCTTCTGTGCCTCTTGACTCCAGCGGGTCAAGCCAGGCCCGGTCCCTCAATTCCTAGGAAAGACAAATACGAGGTCGGCGTCCCTGTGGAACCTCGGGAGGTCAAACACCTAACCCGACCAGCAGATAGATGGTAGATTGACACTCAGAGAAAATGTACTGCTGGACCCATCGGGGCCCGTATCCTCTTTCTCATCTAAGATGCCAAATTGTACTGGTCCGTTTTGTGACACCAGTTCTTACAAGCAAGTTTCAAGTTAATTTACAGTTGCAAGAGAGAGAACTAAATTGTGAGTACTAGACATTATTTTACTGGGCGAGAGATTCCTCCTCCCGCGGACGGCTGTGTGTTCGTATCAATATGGGTTTTAGTCAAGGGCACTCCTCGGCAGCCTCTTGGTCAGCTATTGGCATATCTCTGTTTACAGCCATTCACGGTCACTGAGCCTGCATATCTAGGCAAGCAAAAATGGATATTACAAGGGGGGTTCCTGTCTGGCTACAGTAGCACAGCTCAGGGTTGCCACTAAGAAAGATCCAGGCTCCGTTTGGAGGCTAAGGCACTCGGCCAAGTTTATTGTGAAAAGGAGCAGAGTGCTAGTGTCCTACCTCCTAAGGCACAGGTATAGCGAGACTTGTCCCAACCCAATAATGGTACCAGTCAGTCAGCAGTGAGAATGCTGCCCCTCAGCCAGCATCAACATGCCCCTCCTGTGACTTCTCATTCATTGACACAAACAAGATGCATGTTGCATGTGTTCTACCCCCTTAGCCTCCTGCCTGTTTGTTTGAACAAAACATCCGTATCCATTATCCCCTCATCCCGCTCTTGTGCACAAGGGTCAGTGTCTTTCTGAGCCATCTGACTTCTCATACATTGACACAAACAAGATGCATATTCCATGTGTTCTACCCCCTTAGCCTCCTGCCTGTTTATTTTGAACAAAACATCCGTATCCATTATCCCCTCATCCCGCTCTTGTGCACAAGGGTCAGTGTCTTTCTGAGCCATCTCTTAGGACTGTTTTTCCAGTTACTGTGGAGATGTGTGTTGATTGGCCTCTTCCTGCTCAGGAATGCGCTTTCCTGGTTAGTTGGTCCCCAGTGTTCCACCATTCTGCCAAAGCCCAGCCTGTTCTAGTTAAAAAAGAATGGACATACACAGCTGCAATAAACCTTTTGCGAAGTGTGCTGGGTGCCACGTCAATGGGAATGTTCTGATGTGATGACTATGATTATCTTATTTAACAGCAGTAGCACAGTGATCTCCATGTTCATGTCACAGGTGGATCTTCTGAACAGAAAATGAAGTTCCAAGAAGGGGTGGGGCCAAAGCTGAGGGAAACATGCTCACAAGGTGTAAAGGTGATAGATTCTGTGCAGCCCTGGAGGGACTGTTGTGGGCAGCTGGCAGGCCCCACCCAGACACAGGCAGTTGGGATCAGGAGTGTGGCACATAGGCAGGGCGTGAAGCAACCAGCCAAGGATTCACTTAGATGCTCAGGCAACTTCCTCTGCCTCCTCTGGCCCAAGTACAATATCTGAGCCAAAGATCAGGGCAAGCCCAGCCCACCAGCCAGGGGTTTTGTGGACAGAGACTTGGGGAGCTAGACATCTGCTGGGTCTTTCATCTCCAAGTCCTAGTGACCTGCCATGTGGCAGCTGCTGTCTGAGCCCTGCCTGGGGACCTTGGTGTCACACCTTCATGCCCTCACTAGAGCTCCCCTTCTGAGCAGTGTGTTCCTGTCCAGCTGTGGGATTCCAGGCGGATGGACCGGGCTGTGAGGGGGGCTGAGTTGTACCCTAGAGAGTGCAGCAGAGCGCTTAGCTGCCCTGGGGAATGAGCTGGGCCATTCCCAAGGTGGGGGAGTGATGCATCTTTACTGCAGGAGAGAGTGTCCTGGGATCTTGTACCAGCCAGAGCCCAGTCTCTGCAAGGTGGGGAAAGGATCCTCTGTGGGTGGGTGACTCGGATCCTGGCTCTGGAAGCAGTAATGGCAAAGACCTTAATGAACAAGATCAGCACTAGGTTCATTGCTCTCCAAACAGGGTTTCCAGTCTCTGAAACTGATGAGATCTCCTGGGTGGAGCGAGAGGAGGAGTTGCAGGTCCCAGATCCTCCGAGCTGCAAGGAAGGGAAGATCATCAGCAACGCCCACACAGGTGAGCAATCAGTTAAACTGTCTCAGAAACCAATTTCTGTGTCTATAGCAGATGTAACGTGTGTTTTCATGAAGTTTGACTCACTGTTGTGAAGGAGGACAATGGACTCAGCTCCTGATAATTTGACCATTATTTGAGCATGTGTCCCCTTTTCTATTCCTCCTTTAGAGTTTCCTTGCAGTTCATCGTGGAGAATAACTCCTGTCTGGATCATTCCTTTATTCTAACAGGTGACGGGACACTGACTGAGAACCATGAAAAGAGTCTTCAGCATGAAGGACTGGAGCAAGTGTCTCTACTGAGACGGTCTGAAGGACATGTTTTCCAGATACGTGAGCAAGGAGAGAGCTGTGAGAGTCAGCATAGCCCAAAAAAGCAGCAGGGAAACCATGTAGAAGAGGGACAGGGTAACTCCAGTAATAGGAGCACAGGGGAGCAAAGAAACACAGAAATCGTCCAACAGGAAATCCCCCATCAACAGTCACCCTGCACGTGTAGTGACTGTGAAACTGTTCTTGAACATCAAAGGGTCCATACGGGAGAGAAGCCCTTAAAGTGCTCTGACTCTGCGAAAAGCTTCAGTGAGCACTCACACTTCACAAACCATCAGAAAATACATACAAGAGACACACCCCATAACTGCTCTGACTGTGGGAAAAACTTCAGTAAAAACTCACACTTGGTTATGCATAGGATGACTCACACAGGAGAGAAGCCTTTCAATTGCTCTGTGTGTGGGAAAAGCTTCAGTCAGAAGTCAAACCTTGTTGCCCATCGGAGGACACACACAGGAGAGAAACCTTTCAATTGCTCTGCATGTGGGAAAAGCTTCAGTCAGAAGTCAAACCTTGTTGCCCATCGGAGGACACACACAGGAGAGAAACCTTTCAATTGCTCTGCATGTGGGAAAAGCTTCAGTCAGAAGTCAAACCTTGTTACCCATCGGAGGACCCACACAGGAGAGAGACCTTTCAATTGCTCTGACTGCGGGAAAAACTTCAGTAGTAGCTCAAGCCTTGTTACCCATAGGAGGAGCCACACAGGGGAGAAACCTTTCAATTGCTCTGACTGCGGGAAAAGCTTCAGTCGCAGCTCAAGCCTTTTATACCATAAGAGAACCCACACAGGAAAGAAACTTTTCAATTGCTCTGACTGTGGGAAAAGCTTCAGTCAGTGCTCCTGCGTTACTAGCTATCAGAATACATACAAGAGTGTCGCCTTATAAAAGCTCTGATTGCAGAAAAGGCTTCAAACACAGGTCAGACTTTGTTAAAGATTAGACAGTCCACAGAGGGGAGAAAACCATTCAGTTATTCTGACTGTGGGGAAAGCTTCAGTCAGAGCTCAAATCTTCTTAGCCTTTGGAGGAGCCACAGAGGGGAGAAACATATAACCTGAGTTCCCTTTAAGCTGCCTGGCCAAGTGGCTGTGGTCTCAGAAGACCTCTCTGGAAGGGCCTCCTGGGGTACTGACCTGGCCACTGCCACTCACCTTTCTACTCTCTGGGGCTTCTCACCACCTGGTCCTGCTGGTTCAGCTCCTTAGTCTCCCCTGAGCTGAGATTCCTGCCCCCACCCCCGCCTCTGAGCAGTGCTACAGATGCTGAACCTCTTCAGGTCTGAGGAGAGAGCAGTTTAGGGCCCAGCTTCCTGGGATAGCACTCCCCAAATGGGATCAAACCCCAAAGAATGGGGTAAGCCCCATTTAGCAATGAAAGCGGAATGTGCACACTGCTCCCATAGGTAGTAATTGTTTACACTGGGCTTGATAGTAAGTAAAAGTGGTTTTATTAAGTACAAGCTAGACTTTGTTAAAGCTGCCTGGCCAGGTGGCTGTAGTCCCAGAAGACCCCTTGGGGAGGGCCTCCTGGGGTACTGACCTGGCCACTGCCACTCACCTTTCTGCTCTCTGGGGCTTCTCACCACCCCTGGCCAAGGCCCCAAGCTGAGATTCCCGCCCGCACCCCCGCCTCTGAGCAGCGGCACAGATGCTGAACCTCTTCAGGTCTGAGGAGAGAGCAGTTTAGGGCCCAGCTTCCTGGGATAGCACTCCGCAAATGGAATCAAACCCCAAAGAATGGGGTAAGCCCCATTTAGCAATGAAAGGGGAATGTGCACACCGATTGCTCCCATAGGTAGTAATTGTTTACACTAGGCTTGATAGTAAGTAAAAGTGGTTTTATTAAGTACAAGCTGTAGGATTTAAGTGGTGATAAGTGAGAACAGGTAGAGCAAAGCAGATTACAAATTCAAAGATAACAAAATAAATGCTTTGTTAATGCTCCACTGAAACTTCAGTACAAACTTTTACAAAGTCCCCCTAAAACCTCTTTCCCAGATGCCCCTCCGAACCAGGGCTCTCCCCCACCCTGGGGTCTTTGGCTCCTTCCTTCAGATGCAGCCCAGCCAAAAGACAAAGTCCTCTAGGTGGATGTTATTTCCAAATAACGACTTGCTGTGTAGACATGCACTGTAATTCCGAAATAAGGCTGCTGTGTAGATGCACCCCAAGGGTCACTGACCAGTGGCCTGGGCTCCCCGTACTCAGGAATCCCAGTGTGGTTTCTGTGGTCCTAAGTCCGGCTTCTGAGGGCTGCAGGAGAAAGACCTGGTGTGGACAGGGAAATCCCAATGAACCTCCCAGCAGAGAGCGACTGGTCCCATCTCAGATCCCTGGTTGCGTCTCTGGGTATAGTTCCTGCTGGGGTTTTCTGGACTACTCCAGATCATTTGTTCAGGTGAACTTGTGTTTTTGTTTTAGTACAATGACATATAGAACTTTTTAACTAACACAGACATGTAATGAGGCAAGAAATAAAGCAGGTTTAGCCACTGCAGAAGAAAACAAGTAAGTTTATTTCCTAGATTCTGAGGCTTAAAAGATTTCCTTATGTTTCACTCTTATAAATGTGAACGTGTTGAATAACCTACCCTGTGTTGTGGGTTTTCTCTCTCTGTGAAGGCCGTCGGGTCATGCACTTTGATCTCTGTTTAGTTAGATGTGCAGATAGCACAACACAAATGAGAACTTACCAGAATGTTCATTGTATTTTAACCATATGCTAGCCTTTACCACAAGCTGTGTGTGCAGTTTAAGCAGTGACAATCGTCAGTAATTCTCGGCAGTGGGGCTGGAGCAAAGGAAGATGGGGGCTTGATAGTTGCCCTGACACTGTGACACCACCCCCTGCAGAGATACCCCTGTCTGCAGGTTTCTAATCTCCCAACCCAAGTCCTCCAGGCCAGGTACAGCTGAGCTGGGCCAGCTACAGCCTGGCCATCAGGCTGTTATCTCAGTGTAGACATACGCAGAGCATTTCCTTTTGAGTTGGTGCCTCAGGGAGTCTCTCCACTTTCCAGCCCCCCATGTGTGAGTGCTGCTCTCTGGGGGGTGCCTGGGAGAGTTGGGCTGAGGGCAGGGCCGGCCCGAGCCATACTTGCACCCTGGGCAGCGGGCATGTGGTGCATGCATGCCTCTGCCCCAGGGTGGCAACCTATGGGGGGCGCCTGATGTGGCATCCCTTACCACTTCGATCAGGTGCCCCCATAGTTTGGCGCTCTGGGCAGCTGCTCGGCTGGCGCCCCGGGCAGCTGCCTGGCTAGCTCCCCCCCAATCCTGCCCTGGCTGGGGGTGTGAAGTGCCAGGCTGAGTGAGGTGGGGATGAGGACTAGAGTTTGTCTTTGTTTCTTCTTTGCAAATAAAGCAGATGGTTAGTTTCTCCCACTGCTGGGCTATGTCTACACTTGCGGCTTCTTGCGCGAGTAATATGCAAATGAGGTTAAGTGTGGAATATCGCCAAGCCTCATTTGCGTACCTAACGAGCCACCATTTTTTTTCAGAAGAGGCTCTTGTGCAAGAAGGAGCATCTACACTGCCCCTTCTTGTGCAAGAAAACCCCTCTTGCGCAATGCCCTTACTCCTATTACTTTTCAGGAAGAACAGCATTGCGAAAGAGGCTGCAGGGCCCTGCACAGCCAGGCTTGGCCTTCCCCCAGTGGCACCAAGCTGAGCACCAGCGGCGGTGGCTGGGCAAGGCACATGCCTCCTGCTGCTGCCAGCTCCGCACGCCCTCCCCCACGCACCGGGTGGGGGCTGGGCCGTGCATGCGCCCTTCCCCAACCCAGGGTACAATTAACCTGTCTGCCCAGGGCGCCGGAATGGCTTGGTCTGGCCCTGAGGAAACCCCCTCCGAGGGGAAAGCAGGGATGTTGCTGTGGTGTCCCTGAGAACAGTCAACCCACTCATCTGTTGACCCAGCGGGCAGCAGCCTGTGGCTCATTTCCCCTTCCTCACCCGGGCGGGGACACGGCTGGGAGTGAGGGTGTCCTGTTTCTGAGGGGGTTCTGACCAGTGGGCTGGGACTGGGCTTGGCAGAAATCTTTCCCAGAGACACAAGCTGGAGAGAGGTTTGTGGGGAAGCATTTTGTAAATGTCGATGGATGTAAACGGTTCCTGCAAGTGGGGGGTTTGAAGCTTTCATTGAAAAATTTCCTCTGTCCTATTGTTTCTGCTCTGTGGTGTTATCCCATTTGTCTTCCATGCAAAAGGTCTGTGTCAAACCCAGATGGAGAAAGGTGGAAAGAGCCCCCCTCTTTCTCCATTCAGTTCCTTCTCTGCTCCCTCAGGCCCACTCCTGTCTCTCACAGCCCCAGCTGCTTTGCTTTCTGCCCCGGTGTGTACCCTTACCTGGCGCTATAATACCACGGGAAGGGATCCTTTGCCAGCTTCTTAACTAGTAGCACATTTAGGGCATGTTTACAGGGCAGGGCAAAAGTCAAACTAAGATACACAACTTCAGCTGCTTACTTGTGTAGCTGAAGTTGAAATAGCTTCTCAGCTTTTGGCGCGGTCAACAGCAGGTAGTGGAAGGAAGAGAACTCTCCCTTTGACTTCCCTTACTCTTTGGCTGTGTCTAGACCCGTGGTCACCAACCGGTCGCTCGTGAGCTACTGGTCGATCTCGAGGCCTCGACCAGTCGCTCGCGAGGTGTCCTGTCAGCCCCGCCCCCATTTCCCTCCCACCCCCCAGAAGCCCCACTACTTACCTCGAGAGAAGACGGAGGTAGTGTCAGCTTCTGGCATGCGGGAGTTTGGCCCCAGGGCTTCCCAGTGCGGGGAGGGGGTTGGCGCCAGGACAAGCGCCCGCGTGGCTTCCCTGTGCGGGTGGGGGGGTCGGTCCCTTGGCCAGGCGCACGCAAGGCTTTTCTGCACGGGAGGATTGGCCCTGGGGCAGGTGCGCGTGGGGCTTCCCTGCATGGGTGGGGGGCTCAGCCCCCTGGGCAGGTGCACACGCGCGAGGCTTTGGGGCAGGCGTGCACGCGTGGGGCGCTTCCCTGCATGGGGGGGGTTTGGCCCCAGGGCAGGCGCGCGGGGCTTCCCTGCAGGCGTGTGCGCAGGCCCCCTGGGCAGGCGTGTGCGCAGGCCCCCTGGGCAGGCGTGAGTGCAGGTCTTCCCTGGGGGGTGGTCGACCCCGGGGCAGGCACGCGCTGGTTTCCGGGGGTGGAGGAATGCTGGGAAGAGGGAGATGCAGGGGTCTCTCTGCCTCCACTGGCATCCCACTCCCCTGTCCTCAACTACAGAATGCTGTCCACACTCCTGTCCCCACTCCCTGAACTCTGTCCCCAGCTACAGAACTGTCCCCACTCCCCGAATTCTGTCCCCATTCGCGTCCCCACTCCCCGAATTCTGTCCCCACTGGCACTCTGTCCCCTGCTGCAGAATCCTGTCCTCTGCCCTCCCAGCACCCTGTTCCCGCTCCCCTGCCCCCAGCCACAGTACTCTATCCCCACAAAATGTATAATTATAAATGCTTCATTTTAGATTTAAATAGCATGAATAAAAAACAGACCATTTATTTCATAACTATAAACATGTGATTTTAATTGTATGTCTCACATAATTTAAAAATAAACTGTTTATCAGAGTGTGTAAGCAAGGGCTGGGGATAGCAAGTGATGGACAGGAGGAGAATAGAGAGGGCAGGGCTTCAAGGAAAGGGCAGGGTGGTAGATCTTCACCTGTTCTGAGATTTAAAAAGTGATCTTGGGTGTAAAAAGGTTGGAGACCACTGGTCTAGACTGACCAGTTTTTCTGGAAAATCGGCCACTTTTCCGGAAAAAACTTGCGAGGTATCTACACTGGCTGCTTGAATTTCCACAAAAGCACTGACGATCTCATGTAAGATTGTCAGTGTTCTTGTGGAAATACTATGTTGCTCCCGTTCGGGCAAAAGTCCTTTTGCGCAAAAGTTTTGCACAAAAGGGCCAGTGTAGACAGCCCAGTTTTGTTTTCCGCAAAAAAGGCCCGATGGCGAAAATGGCGATCATGAAGATAAGGGATCTTTCAAAAAAGGCTTTATTTTTCGAAAGATCAGCGTTAGACTGCTGCTTTTCTCCGACAAAGCTCTGTGCCGAAAAAACAGCAGCCATTTTTATGCTAATGAAGCACAGGAGATGTAAATCCCTGCTTCATTAGCAATTGCAACACGTCTAATTTACATCCCTTTTCCGAAAAAGGGATGTAGTCTAGATGTAGCCAAGGGGTTTTTCCCCCCCTCCTCTCTCGGTTGGGGGAATAGACTCCTTTGCTTCTGCTCTCCTATGAGGTTCTACTAGAGGTCAGAGACTTCCCACCTAAGAGCTAGAGAAAGCTAAAAATGAATTGCCTTGTATGCTGAGAATGTAACTGAAGGGAATGTCTAGCATGGGGCTTGAACCTATGACCCTGAGATTGAGTCTTATACTCTACCAACTGAGTTAGCCATACAGTGCCCCACGCTAATACCCTGTCACAGGACAGAGGATCAGCGTGTTCTCAAATGCTTGATTCAAGGCTCTGTCCTGTCCCCAGTGGGGCGCTCTGGTCTGTGTGGGGAGGCCTAGGCACACTGGCCTCTTTTACCACAAGAATGGCCCCATTTCAGTCTCTCAGGTAACAGGAGAAGAGTCAGTAGCAGCAAGGGAAGGTCCCCTGAGTGAAACCAGGCAGAAACGCCATGTCTCACGTTCTGCAGCAACCCTTTCTGCCCTGGCAGGCACTGCCCCTTCTCGCACTGGCCTGGGCCTGGCATCCCTCCCCTCCCAGCACCACAGAAAGCCCCTTGGCATGAGCTTGGGAAAGCTAGAGGCCTCAGGCCTGTTGCCCCCAAGAGGCTTGTGCTTTGGCCTCTGCAGCAACCCTTTCTGCCCTGGCAGGCGTTGCCCCTTCTCCCACTGGTCTGGGCCTGGCATCCCTCTCCTACCAGCACCACAGAAAGCCCCTTGGCGTGAGCCTGGGAAAGCTAGAGGCCTCAGGCCTGTCGCCCCCGAGACGCTTGTGCCTTGGCCTCCTCTGCCCATGGCGGCCGGCTCTCCTGGCTGCCCCCTGTGCGCTACTGGCCAAAGGAGGCAGCAAGGCAGGAGAGGGGAGAAGAAGCAAGTCCCACTAAGGCCGACAGCTTGGGCTTAAGCCTCCAGCCCCAGCACAAAACCTTCAGCCTGGCCTCTGTTGCTCCCTCCTCAGAGGGGAGGAGGAAGCCCTGTTGCCTCAGGCCGGGGGAGGTGACAGGAGGCCTCCTCTCACAGCCTTACGCTTTGCTTCCATGCTGGCTAGGGTTGCCAGGGGTCCAGTTCTGAACCGGACTGTCCAGTATTTGAGCTTTCTGTTCAGGAAACAAACTGAGAAAGTGTAAATGAGGAAATAGAAATGTCGGGTATTTTCTAAATAAGCTGGAATGTAGATTGTGAGGTGGTGTCAAGTGAGTCCAGTATTTCTGTGGAACCATCTGGCAACTCTAATGCCGACAATCGCAGGGGCCAGGGAGCTCCCTGGCTGGCCGCAGCCTCAGCCACTTCCTGCTTCATGGCCCAGGCCCAGGCAGTCCAGGTGGGTCTCTGTGGGGCCTCAAGACATGTTTGCTGTTGTCCAGGCGCAGGGGGCCCAGATTCTGCAACACTCACAGGCCCCATAGGAGGGGGCTGGTTTGATGCTTCACCCCACGGCCTGGCAACAAGCCTCCAAACTCCTGCTGTGTTCTGAGAGCCCCGTTGGCTGTGTGAATTCTGTGGGGAAGGTGACGTCAGGCCTGCGCACTGGGATTAGTTACCAGTTTCCCTGGCCCTGGGGCACTGCTGAGCTCACAGCTGTGATGGCTGAGTAGTTACAGCGTCGGACTAGAAATCCAATAGGGTTTCTCTGTGAAGGTTCAAATTCTCGTCACAGAGAGGCCCGTGTCTGGCTGCAACACAGCTACACAATGTTTGCAATGCTTTCCTCACACTCCCCCTCCCCTACTGTTCTTTTCAGAGCTACAGCTGGGATAAAGGCTCATGCTGGGTCCCTAGGGGTGCACGTATGCTGCACTGTCCCCCGAAATAAGGTACGGAATTTGAGCAATAGCAATTGCATACCTTATTTTGATGCTGTTTCAAAGACTTTATTTTAGTTGGCACAGAGCGCCATATTTCAAAACAAAGCGCTTTTCTCAAACATCCCTTACTCTTTGTAGAATGAAGCTTACACAGACGCAGAGGAGCTATTTTAGGATACCCTGGTATCCAGAAATAGCGTTGCAGTGTAGACTTACCCTGAGGATGCATTTAGGTGCACACCCTGGGCTGCAAGAATTCAGTTTATCGCATCCAGTCTGTGAGGGCAGGACCAAGCACTGTCTAGAACAGACCATCCCCAACAGGTGTCTGTCCAACCTGCTCTTAAATATCTCCAGTGATGGCATCTCCACCATCCCCCTGGGCAATTTATTCCAGTGTTTCACCCCCCTGACAGGCAGGAAGTTTTTCTAACGTCCAACCTAAACCTCCGTTGCTGTAGTTTAAACCCACTGCTTCTTGTCCTATCATCAGAGCCCAAGAACAACAATTTTTCTGCTTCCTCTTTGTGAGACTGTGAGGCTACGTCTAGACTGGCATGATTTTCTGGAAATGCTTTTAACGGAAAAGTTTTCCGTTAAAAGCATTTGCAGAACAGAGCGTCTAGATTGGCATGGATGCTTTTCCGCAAAAGCAATTTTTGCGGAAAAGCGTCCGTGGCCAATCTAGACGCACTTTTCCTCAAAAAAGCCCCAATCGCCATTTTCGCGATCGGGGCTTTTTTGCGGAAAACAAATCTGGGCTGTCTACACTGGCCCTTTTGCGCAAAAGGACTTTTGCCCGAACGGGAGCAGCATAGTATTTCCGCAAAAACACTGACAATCTTACATGAGATCACCAATGCTTTTGTGGAAATTCAAGCGGCCAGTGTAGACAGCTGGCAAGTTTTTCCGGAAAAGCGGCTGATTTTCTGGAAAAACTGGCCAGTCTACACACAGCCTGAGATACCTGAAAACTATCTCTGGTCAACCCAATGTGGGCAAGCTGAGAGTCCAGGCATAAGTTCCTTCCCCTACTGCTGGAGGGTTGGCCCAAGTCCCTTTTAGCCCCCCGCTGGGTTCAGTAGTCCCCTGTGAACAGAGGGGACTGTATTACTGCCGCTGTAAGATCAGAGAAAGAACACAGGGATTCCCCTGAGCCTCAGTAGCAGAGCACCCAGGAAGCAAGAACAAGCCCTTTGCGCCCCGCCCCAGAGTCGAGCCCGATCTTTACAGAACATGTGGTGCTCAGTGCGGTATTCAGAGGGCTCCTGTTCTTAGCCGCCTGGTCAAAATGCCCCCAGCCCTGCCTTGGGATATGCTGCTCCTGCTCTGGTCAAAAGGTGCAGAGAGATGAGAAAATTAGCAGCCACAAGGCATATTATCTAGGGACTCTCAGAAAGGCCTGGCGTGACGACGAGCCAAGCTTGCACACAGCTGAGTGAGAGCAGCCGGCTGGCCCTGGGCAGAGCCCATCACACCCAGTGCGGTTTGCTGGATTGGGGCCTATGTTAGAGAGAAAGAAGTGGGCCTCTTACCACAGTCACCTGCCCCTCGTAGCTCACGTCTGCACCTCCGTGCTGCTAGTTGGTGCTGTTGCTCCCGCCTCCCTCAGCAGAGAAACGCAAAGACGCCCGCTCCAGTGTAAACAGACAATTGTCAGTGCTACCTGCCTCGTCCCCTTCAACACAGGGACAGTCATCACAGGCACTCGCAGCTTCCTGCTGCTTCAGGCCTGGATTTAGCTCCTCGTTTGCTCTTCTGGAGCATGGAGATGGGTTACTTGAGGTTTCAAAACATGTAAGGGACTTGAGAGTACAAATCTCACCAGGAGCCCAGGGAGCTGCTTCCGTTCCCAAGTCTCTTGGGTGTAGATATGCGAAGCTGCAAGGAAGCCAGATGGCACTAGTGCTGCTGGAGCCAGGGAGCGGTGTGGTCATTGCAGCCTCAGCTCTCAAGCCTAGTGCTGCTGGAGCCAGGGAGCGGTGTGGTCATTGCAGCCTGGGCTCTCAAGCTCTCCGGAGCCCCAGGGCTGGGACTGTCTAGCTGGGGTCTCTGCCATGATGATCAGTGCTGAATTTTAACAAGGAGCCTTTCTCCCAAGTGTTCATTGGGCGAGGAGCCTCTTTCTCCCAAGTGTTCATTGGGCACCAGAGTTTAATGTGCACCTTACTCTGCACTGCTGCATACAGGACACTGCTACAACCCAGTGCCTGTAGCACCAGAAGAATTTGCTGGAGGCAAAGGGCTGCCTAGACCAGTGGGTTTCAAACAGCAGGTCACAACTCAGTACTGGGTTGCAGAAGGTCAGGCATTGGGTCTTTGTTGCTGCAGGGTGATCAGTGGGGGAATAAGGCAGCTTCCTGCCTCTCCTGGCACTACAGCAGTGCTGCACCCCGAAAGTGCCCAGCAGCAGGTCCAGGTCCTAGGTGAGTGCAGAAGGCAACTGCAGGGCCTCTGACTGGCACCAACCCGGCTGTTATTTCTGCCCCTGCCCAGACCCCACCTCTGACCCTCCTGTAGCCCCAAGGGGTCTTCTACTTACCCCTCCCATCCCTGGGGCTGGAGGGAGGGACAGGAGCTTTCAGGTATCATAGAGATAAGGAGCCAGAGGCTGAGTACAGAGGAGTCCTCCAGGGTCATAGACACTGGGGTGTGTGAGGCCAGAGAGGTTCATTTCAGGGACACAGGCTGAGTGCGGATTCTGACCCCACACAGAACCAGGGTCGGATTCTCTCCCCAGGGAGGGAGCCCGGCGGGAAAGTGAAGATCGGGGCCTCAGCACCAGCATCGATAAATGTCACCTGCCCCCGGTCACAGTCCAGACAAACCCGGATCCTGCGGGGGCAGCTCAGGGGCAGTGGGGTGCGAGGGGAGGTAAGAACCCGGAACCGACCCCCGCATCGCTGCACGGCCCAGATCCCCCCCTTAGGGCTAAATGTGATCCATCCCTTCCTCCTCACAGACTCTCTGGCCACCCCCACAGCCCAGTATGGCCCATCCCCCACCTCCACCTCCCAGCAATGTCTCCCCGAGGTGAACCCCTCATGGCCCAGCACACAAGGCACAAGGCCAAATCTCTCCGGGTTGCTGAGCACCCAGTCCCACGGAGATTCCCAGCTCACACGTTTCTCATCCCAAGACAGGAGGAGCTGGGGACTCGCCGTGTCTGGATCCAGAGTCACCGTCGCTGGGGAGAGAGAATCAGGACGTGAGGGGCAGAGCTCAGCCTTGGGGGCAGCTGGGGCCATTTCTCACCCTCCCCAGCAGCCCTGTTGTGGCTGGGACAGGCCTGGGCCCCAGGGAGCTGCCTCTGCCCTGGGCCCTGAGACTGAGCCGAGCTGTCACTGCAGCGCCTCAGCCTGGGCAATGGGACCCGCTTCATCAGCTTCTCATTTGCGTGCAC